TTGTTTTTATCATTGTTTAATCCTTACATTAATCTTACTATCTCAAAGTTCTCATCAACTTCTTTTTTTTTCTTTATTATTGTTGTTGCTGCTGCTGCTGCTGCTGCTGCTGCTGCTTATAATTTATATAATTAACTTTTTTATGGTTCGATCCCAGTCTTATCAAGTTATTTATTACTTTGATACTCTTGCATTTGGGAGAAAACATCAATCTTTTGGTCGTTTCACCTTGCTAAGGCAATGACAGATGAGTTATCCATATAAATTTATGAACAATAATGCAATAAGATTTTTTTTTATTAAGTGGCTTAGTGAAAATATCTGTAACTCCTTTAAACTTGATTTCTTATAACTCCTAGCATATCTCTCATCTTAGCGAAAACGTCATGTTTGAGTGGCTTAGTGAAAATATCTGCGATTTGGTCTTGGGTCTTTACATACTTCACTTTAACTACCTTATTTATAATATAATCTCTTAAGTAATGAAATCTTGTGTCAATATGCTTACTTCTATCATGAAACATAGGATCCTTTGCTAAGGCAATGACTGATGAGTTGTCCATATAAATTTATGCAAGCTTTTCTCATGACATTCACAACTCCTTTAGTAATCTTTTTAGCCATATGGAATGATAAACACATGTTGTAGAAGACAAAACTTGTAATGATCTTTTTATCATATGTTGATAATATGACTATAGATTGCTTCTTCAAACTTCATGTGAATGTTATGTCTCTAATGTAGAGGACAAAACTTGTAATGATCTTTTTATCATTTATATCTCCAACCCAATTACTATCACTATAAGCCATAAGATCAAAACTATTAGAGTAATCATATAATAAGCTAAAATCTATGGTACATTTGATTTATCAAAGAATTTGCTTCAAAGCTTTGAGATGTGTCATAGTTGGTGTCTCCAAGAACCCACTCACAAGTCATATTCTAAATAGAATATGTAGACAAGTGTATGTTAAATATCTCAAACTCCCAACTAGGCTCTTGAATGTTATAGAGTTTATCTTCTCTCTTTCATCATTCTTTGACATCTTTACTCCACACTCAACTAGAGCGTTCACTTTTGCACAATCCTCTATCTTGAACTTCTTGAGAATCTCTTTTGCAAACCTTTTTTAATTCATAAAGATTTCATTTTCTACTTGTTTGATCTCAATCCCTAGATAATAGGTCATGACCAATATTTTTTTTATCTCAAACTCCTTGATGATTTATTACTTGAAGTTTCCAAACATCTTTGGGTTACCAATAATCCATATAGAACCATATAATAAGAGTACCATTGCTTTCTTTTATCTTTATATAGATAGTATATTAATAAGGGCATTTTACAATACGACCATACCAAGCTTTTGAGCTTGTTTCAATTTAGGGTGACATTTCAGGGGATATATCAATTCAACCAATTTTGTGAAGTAAAAAAATTATGGATAAGTAACACGTCAAACCTAACCATATATTTTTCTTTACAAGATAATTTTTGCTAGTAATAATGGGATATAGAGAAAAGTTACTAGAATAATTCAACTACAAGAACTACATAGCATAATTAGCTAAAACAGGTCGAATATGATTGGCTTTCCATATTCCAATTCAGAAGCTCAAACTTAAGGTATGCTATATAATCTAATTCAATTAGTTGGTGAAAAAGCCTGCCTTTGTACGGTTCTTGTCATGGATAAAGACAATGCTAAAGTATTTTATAGTAAGGTTTTTGATCTTGAAAAAGAATTTTATAGCTTACAAAGTTACTTAACATACATAATAAATGAAGAATAGGCTGTTGAGGTTCAGATCTAGAGAGCTTATGAACTATTAAATATAGTTGTGTCTATATTTGGTTATACTGTGCTCTATAAAAATGAGCACTATATGTAGTACCCTCTATCTCAAGGTTTAACATCATGTCATTGTCAACTTCTGGTGTGGAAGGGATTATGGAGAATTACTTTTTTAATGCTTTATCTGTTTAATGGACCATCTAGCCTTGAACTTTTTGTAAAATGATTTATATGCTCATCTAGAAGTACTGGCTGTATTTATACTTGAGGCATGTGCTTGTGATATCATAGTTAAAGTTGAGTGAGGATAACATAAGGGCTTGCTAAATAAGTATTGGAAGACATGATTCTCTTATTGACTCCCTCTACAAACAAGTGAAATATTTTATAGAAGATGGGTGCCGAGTTAATCTTTATTTTTATATATTTATGTTCAATAAATATAATTCAAATTCAAGATAAATTATACATTACAAAGTACAAACATAATGTCAAGCAACATAAATTTAAAATTTAAAATATTTCTAAATAGTCAAGATTGAATATAACTTTAATTTAAAGTCTTAAAGTAATTCAACTTAAATAAAATACCAAAATATTATGAAAGTAAAATGTTTTAACATAAAATAAACATAAATCAAATATTATCTCCATCATTAACATAAAAATAAAGATCTTGATCTTGTGGTGGTTTGTAGGGAAAGTCATCAGCTAGACATTCTAATGGTCCATCATTTCCACCAAGCTCACTATTCTCTTCATCAAAACATGTCTCTTCATCCTCTAAAGTCAAAGTAGATAAAGGTGCTTCTATAGTCTCCCAACTTATATCATCTCCATCATTTCACAAATCCATTCATTCAATAGGTTAATGTTATCGAGGCTAATGAGATCTAAAGCATCCCTTATTTTGCTCAAATTCCTACAAAAAACAACATGAATATAAACCACATATATATTAGTGATAAATTTAATTTTAAAAAAAATTAATATCATTGTTAATAAAAATAGTAATAATCATTTTTAATATTATTATTAATATGATAATATCAATATTTTACCTTTGTTGAACCCTCAAATTATAATGAATAAATACTAGATCACTCAATCTTTCATGCTCTAGCCTATTGCGCCTTTTAGAATGAATGGATTCAAATATAAACCACATTTTTACACATCTAGTTGCACTACAACATTGACTAAGAATTCGAATTGCAAACTTTTGAAGTTCTTCGGTATCATTGCTAAATTGCTCCCACCATGCAACTAGATAAGAAAAAAGTTTAATAAATCAGATATTATAAATACAAAACAATATTATATTTACGAAACAAAATGTTATTACCTGGATTTAACTTTTCTCTTTCACGAATAGCTAGGGGCATGCCAAAATCACTAGTTGCTTTCTTATACTCCTCAAGTTAGCCACTAATTACATCTTGAGTGTCATAATCAGAGACCAATCTAGTAATTGTACTAAACAAACCTCAAGTAACCTCCTTTTGTTTTGAAAAAGAAGGCCTAAAATAGATTCCAGGATTAAGAAAACAACTTGCTGCATGTATTGGATTATGAAGTTGTTTATCCCATCTAGCATCAATTACTTGAATATATGGTCCATATTGAGAAACTCTATTTTTCAACCTTGTCTTGATGGCTTCTTTTGCTTTATCCATTGCCTCATATAAATAACCCATTGCTGGTTTTTCTTCACTATCTGCTAACCGAAGAACTCACACTAAATGCTCACTAACTTTGACTATATGTTCACATCGAGGCCAAAAGTCTTTATCTTGTAAAATTATGGTAGGTAATTCCTTTCCAACTTTACTTTTACCATGACTTGATTCTACCCATTTCATGCAAGTAAACATTTGTCGAAGCTCTTTCTTAAACTTAAGCAAACATTGGATGCTTAAAAAATGGGTAGCAAACCTTGTAATGCCAGGACGACATATATCATTTTCATTAGTAAAGTCTTTTCTCATTAAATCTAAAACCCATGCATGATTATATATAAATTTGGTTATGCTTCTTGCCTTCTTAATGGTTTCATCAATCATCGGAAAATATCTTGGATCATAAATATTTTCTAACAACAAATCAATACAATGGGCAGCACAAGAAAACCAAAAAAAGTGCCATACCTTTGTTGTAAAGCCTTCCCAGCAACCTTGAATGCAAACTCATTATTACTAACAAATTGGACGATATTTTCTTGCCCTACTTTTATGACAACTTCATCAAACATTTCAAGCAATGTCTCTTTATCTTTTCGAAGACCCGAAGTGTTAACTAACTTCAAGAATATGGTACCTCTTGGAGAATAAACAAGAAAATTCACAATTGGTACATTTCTTCTATTTGACCACCCATCTGCCATAATGGAGCATTCATAAAGTTTCCAATCAGCCTTAATTTCTGATGTAACCATATTATTCAATAATTTCACTCACATTTACCTAATGTTTTGTTCCTGTTTTATATGTAAAATGTCTTTATATTTTTTGTTTTATGTTTTGAAGGCACTTTTGGATGAAAAATGCAAAAAGAAGTAAATTGGAGGTAATTGACAGATTTGATGTTCAGTCGATGTTTTGTGCAGAGTGTGAGTTCTAGAGATTGAAATGAAGTGATTCTAGTGGCACTAAAAAGCTAACATCCATACCTTTCTGGAAATGTAATACAAGAAAAATAAAAAGAGAAAGATCATGGAAATCACATCCTTCAAAGTCAAATCTTGTATTCTACCACTATTGACCTTTGTCCATTCAAAATTGAATATCTGGAGCTATAGAAGTCGAATTGGTTCAAACTTAATTTTTTTGGATTCCTGACTCAAAACTTTGTAAACTTTCTAAATTTCAGCCAAAAAAGATGTCAGATGAGGGAGATATGATTTTTCAAAGATGACAACCGAATTCTGCCAGCAAATAGGTTTTGTGAAGAAATGAGTTCAAATTATGTTCCGAAGCTTCTAAACCAACATCCAAGTTTTTATATCAGCAATTTAGTTCCTCTAAGTCA